TATATATATATATAAACTCAGTCATGTTCTTTTGCTGCAATTCTGAAATGTCATTACATGGTGTGCTGTTAAAAACCCAGTGGGCAAACAACCTCACCTCAACAGAAAGTGAGATGCTACATAGATGCTATCTCTGTAGGAAATACCACGTGGAGCTCAGTTATTGTTTGTTAGATGTTCTCAGCCGTATGAGAGGAGGTTCTTTTTAAAGGTTGTTTAAAAAAATAATAAAAAATGTAATCAAACATCGTCTCACTCCTTTGTTTATTCACAATATTTCCCAAGAAAATTTCTCTACAAAGATGCTTAAAAAGTGTATCAGACTATAAAATCTATTTGAAATTCATTTGCACAATCATTAAACAGAACTGTATCACCACATCACTGCAGGCAACAAACTGTTGTGTCCTGCTGATTTAAGGCAGCGAAACAGAGAGAACGCCAACATTTTATCTGGAAGACTCAGAACATTTACAGCAGTTGATGGTATAAAAACATTAAACATTTATTCACAGAATTTATTCACAAATGTTTTATTCAACCAATTTTCCTAAAACAACTAAATAGATAAGATCACAATATTAAAAATTCACCACAAAAGAGTGTTATAAAAATAGTGCGATACCCTTTTCAAAGTGCAGCCAATTTGTTGGAGGAAAATACTGAGACAACTAACAAAGCAGATCCCAGGCCGGCCCAAAAGCATTGACTGTCCATCAAATTACTGACCAAGCCACATACGCCAATGAACAAAACGTTTACACTTCAGTAATTATTTTATTATTAATGAAGTATTTATATTACCCCATTAAACTTTAACCCTGCATGTGCTCAGAAGAATTTAAATTGCATTCATTCCCTTCCATTTTTTTTCTTCTTAGAATTTGAAAGACATTCAAAAAAGAAAACAGCTACAGAAACATTTTAGCTTTGAAAAGCTCTGGTAAGATCCACCAAAGTGGAAATAAAACTAAAACACTACACATAAATAAAAAAAAACATGAAATAATATTGAAGTGAGGAGTTTTTTACTGTTTAAATGTAAGAAGACTTGAAACAAGCTGCAGATTAAGCATGGAGATGTTTACAGGTGTTCACAGTGAGGTGAGTTATAAACTGTTACTAAATCAAAAGGTCCTGGAAAACAAAAATTAAATCTATGTTTCTTTTCTCTTCTTTTTTTCAATTTAAAATTATAAAAACAAAAACTTTATAAGTGCCGTAATGTTTTAGGAAGTTCTATTTAAACTCCAGCAAGAAAGCTGTATAAGTTTGTATTTAATACAAATTTATAGAATACAAGACTTTGGACATATAGTTGTGGTCAGGCTGAGCGGGTCGACAACGAAAGAAGCCCCTGCTGAAAACGCAACACATTCAAACTTGATTGGAATTTGCAGCTGTCCTCAGGGACGAGCCAAATGCCTCATAGAGAAGAATTTTATTGTCAAACAAGACAACAAATGAGCTAACTGGCCATTAAAAAAGTATGAGTCATGGTGAGGCTATCTAACACTTTACTATCAAGCATGGTGGTGGTAGCATCAGGCTGAGGCGCTGGTACAAAGGAGGACTACCTCCAAATTTTCACTTCAAATCATCCTGATCAATCTCAATAATCCAGGTAAAAAAAAAACCATAAAAAGCTGAGTAGGTTTCTCCTTGTTAAAAAAAATGTAGATGAGACAAAACGTTTTTTTTTTTTAAATAAATAACCCATCCTGAGGGTCTACTCATTTTAAATGAATTACTGATTCTGATAGGGTGCTCGAAAATAATTACAAATGATASAGCATCTAACATTACAGTTTATATTATGTGTCATACACATTATGTTTTTATTTTATTTTATTTTATTTTTAATTTTTAAACAATTTCCAGCAAGGAATAGATAAAGTATCTATGCTATCTCCAGCCAGGATTATACCTGCAGACTGAAACATAAAGTC